TCACACTTCAGATGGACAATTCTAAGATATACTTTGCACTTTTACTAATTGAGAACTGGATTTGACCAAAATTTCGGACGTCGCAATCTTATGCTACACTTTTTTGCATCTGACGATCGCAAATGATGGGAGAAATTATTGTTGAAAATTTCGCAATTTCTAAGATAAGATTTTGCACTAAACTAGATTCATAGTGGAAAATTTTCTGGAAACGAAAATCGGTTTTTTAACGCATGAACAACGAATCATGTGATGTTGGTGAACATTATGAAGAGCATACTCGGAAATTGAGCTGTTCTCCGAAAACAGATGAAGAAGTCGTATGTATGTAACGGTATGAAGAATCCTTTTTCGTGAAGTTTACTTTTAATCTATTGTTTCTTGCCAATTCAACAACCGAGAAATAAATTCACATTCTCTCCTGCTAATTGGTTAGCAAGCGATTTTTGTAATATTTTTCGAAAAAGCTGTTTGAATTGGAAATGGGATGAACCAATACTGGCTAACATTTGCAGTGCTCGCTTTCTTCAACGTAATATCCTAGCCAATATCCTGTCTAGTTCAGCAATTCGACGATTACTTATCTTCGTACATTTGCACTTGTTTCGAGAAGTCACTTCCTGACCGCTTCCAAAGATTTCTCTGCAAATATCGACTCAAAAGGATCATTGCCTGTCATTCTCACAATGCATGCAATCCGAAAGGTAAACGACAAATAGTGCAATTCCCAGGTCATATCTTCAGGTTGCTCCATCGTGTTAGTTTCCTCTGCATCAATCTCATAAACGAACAAATCCATGTAATTGCCATTTCATTATCTTGAATGCAAAGGCATTTTTTGGATCAACACAACATTAATAAAGAGATCTGATGTTAATCAACTTTGCAGCACATTCACCGAAGCAATTAAAAGATTTTACATTTGGAAAGCATTTGGAAAGATTGTTAAGTGCAATGTTTGCCTTTCATACACGAGAAAGCCTTGCTAAATGTTAACAAAAATCTCTTCATACGATAGGCTCAACGATGTTCTCATCGGAAACATACTATAGCGCATTCAAATGCAATCAGATAAACTGCTCATCCTTGAAGCGCACTGAACGGCTCAACAAATCCGATAAGAAAGTGCAAAGTGAAAACCGAAAGTCACCGTACAATTACGTCAATTCAACGTTCATGTAAGCATAATGATCGCATTCACATTCACTGCACTGTTGGATAACAACAGTGAAAGTACTAACGATTCGATCAGTATTTTAAATGTGAATAATGAAACTATCATAGTAAGCGAAGATGACGCTATTAAGCCATCTGTTTGTATCTGAGAGAATTTTAGAGAGATGGATTCGGTCCGTGATTTTGTTCTTTCTTAAAAACATCAGACGGTTCTCAGGATGTGACAAAAAATTTGTATTAGTTTCACAGGTAAAGCTCATTTGTTCAATGATTGTGAGCTAAAATGGAGCCAAGTTATGTTCAAACAATTTACTTCATAAAATATTCGTCAATGAGTAGGTCGAAGAGCGAATAAGTGTTCGAATTTTACTAATCATTTGCCTGCTGTAACTTGTGTAATGTTGTTCCCATTGAAGTCATGCTCTAAAGTTGCAACACAGCAATGGGCTAGGGCTTAAGTGACGATACGTTCACAAAATTGCACATCCCGCTCAGTCTAGTGTCTTTTCTACATTTTTGGTTAGCTGTTGGGCCGAGGACGCTCGGTTGGGCCGGGGACCCTCGAGACTCGGGTTCTGATGTGTCCTGTTTCGTCGTCTGAACTATGATTCAAGTGCAAAATTGGGCTCAGGAGCCCTGACAGTAGGAGAAAGGATTGAGAGCCACTGAGTTCCCCGCAATCGAGGGTCACAAGTCTCGATCGTCCCCGTCCCAGCTCTAGTTTGAAATATTCAATCTTGTCCTCGTCAATTTACTCTAAAACATTAAAGCCGTTTTGGCCCAATCCGCTCTACGATTAAAATCCGTTTTGGTCCTATCCACTCTAAGACTAAAGTTATTTTATTCCCTTTTCTTGCTTTCTCGTAAAAGTGCTTTTCTATTCTCCTAGAAACGAACAAGAGGAGAATGGGAGCAGAACAGTTTAAGTGGAACATGGACATCATCATGCCAGTCATCGCTGCTGACCTTCCTTGATAGGCTCTCTGCTGGATAATGACTGAACAAATAACCTCGCATTTTGCCGTAAACCAATGATGATGTTTTCAGTCGTGATTAAACTTCCGTACTGATCAATGATTCCAGAGAGGGTCATTCACATGAGCTGTTCTGATAATATTCATCACCATGCACAGTTCATTGTCACTGATAAAAAGCACAGTAAGAGCAATACGAAAATATACAATAATAGCACTTCTAAAGCAACCACCTTGTGAACATACAAGGTCGTAATAAGCAAACACTATCCAAATGAATTTGAAGTTGCAAATGACAAGAATTAGATAGTTCATAAGGAATCGATAAATTTGATATGAAAGTAGTTTTTTACCTAAAGATTCGATAATGCATCTGTTAATGAAACAAATTCATAGAATAATGTTGGAATTTTCGGTGGTATTACGGCTGTGTAACTGTTGTTCAGCAGGAAGCATCGCAAGTTGGGATTGTCAAGCACTACAGAAAGATCAAAAAGAGTGCAAAACTAATCGTGTGACTTGCTTCACGAGGACATCTATTTCATTCAGACACACACTTTCAATAAGTAATTTATGCATTAATCAGGCTCGAATCCTTGAAAACTACTCATATCCGTGTTATCATCTCCCCAATACGACTTCCTTGTCGAGAATTACTAACAATTTCGACAGTTGAACGGATGCAAGAACAAATCCGTCTCTAAACTGATTGATCGTGAGTTCAATTCAAAATATCCACGAAGAAAAGTGATCATCAATATTCTGGATAAAAATTCATCGAAGATCATTGCTGATCAAACAAAAAATGAGAATCAGGAGTGAAGTCAAACCCTCCTCATCACTTCGATGCTTTGCAAGATTCGCATTTTCACCAATTCAAATGTTTCTAGGTATGCAAATGGCTTAATGGTATAACGAATCAATTGACTCAAAATTTCCAAGAAAGAACAGAAGAACGAACCAAGAATGATCGCTATGCTAATGCAATTCTCCTGATCTAAATCGGAAAGATGCGTCATTGTTGCTTTGTCACCAAAATTTCTCTTTCAAAAGAGCTCTATTCACAAGACGGTATCAATGATGTGATTGGGATTGACACATGTTTCACATAGGCAGAGCCGACCAACTTTTGCAGGGGAGTATGTCCTATCTTAATTCTAAGAATTATCAGTCATTCGTTCATTCGTTTTGATAACATATTTTTCTTGCTTCATTTTCTGCTTGAATAATCGCTAATCAACCTCCAAGTTCGTTAGCTGCAACATTATCGAATGACTGAGACACTTCCAGAAATATTCTGGACATATTTGTTCGTAGTTTGAGTTTTTTGTCCAAAATAATTATCACTAGCCTTGCAGCAACTCAGTGAAGTGACAATAATCACATCAATGTGTGTCTTTACTGTCTTTACAAATAATTTTGTGTCTTTACAAAATAATTTTAGGATTTATCGNACCTCAACACTTTAATTCAATTCGTTCACTCGACCAAATGAATTTTCGTGGCTTCTGAGCATCAGTATCGGTTCTTGTTTCGGTTCGAATTGGCTAATTTGACAATGCAAATATTGACTGAGGTTGACCATTATGAATGATCAGTTAACTTCATACTTATTTTGTTATCGTTTAAACTAACAAATAAATGAGTTCGAAACCGACAGATTGAATAAAAGATTTCCAAAAAAGATGGTCGCGTAGGCAATTTCAGTATTCGTGAAAGACGGTGGTCATATGTTCTGAACCTCTTTCGTAAAGAGACGAATGTTAATTTTTACCTGTCAACCGTTGTCTACATACCTAATGATTGCCTGTTAAGCATACTTAAGCAAATGTCGGTTTTGTATCCATGCACTTTAAGCGAACATTGGGCGTGTCATGCCCCGATCACCGCCCATATCCGTGCTCAACTCTCGCCCCTTTATCACGCTATATAAATTCACTTAATAAGTAACCGCAACTCGAGTTTATGTCAAACTAACTCCCTCTAAACCTGGACAGTTCATGTCAAACGGTACTCTCTAGTATGATGATCAATCTCATCAGTAAGTTTGAATAAAACTAGCTGAATGCATGCCTCTCATTCCGTTCATGTATTTGATCAGACCAGAATAACTCAGAAAGAAATTATGAAATTGTCTCTCAGCTTTTTGGACAACTTCAATTAAACTCATTATAGTACTTCCGAATTCAACAATCTCAGTTCAGTCCTCCTAAGGAAGAAGAGTATAACTGCTTCTGCTACCTAACATTACCTTTCTGAAGTGATATGAATCTGAGACGAGGACAAAGTAGGCGTGACATGACTGCCGTCAGTATGCTTGAAGATTTCTGTCACATTCAAGTTTCCTCGAATGACCAATTAATGACAAGAAGATTTTTCTTCGATTCATTATGAGCATGAGCGAGATACGCAACTAAGTTGTGCCAGCAGGACAATCTGACGAATTCTCATTTATCATTTAAAGAACAATCTCTCAGGAATATTCTTATTTGTGTGAAATGCAGCAGCCTCTCTTCCAATCGCTCAATATGCTTTCACTTATCCTAATTATTTAAATTCACAATATTTCATCAGAACTTTCAGTTATGATGAAAAGCGTCAACCAATTGCTACAAAAATTCATTCTTTCTGGTGCGCAAAACTGTCATTTCAAGGCGTGCTCGCGAAATTTCACTAATTTCAAAATTATTACACGAGCGCAATAACTGCAAACCACTTGGGATATATCTTTAAAGTCGTTCAGCTACAGCGTTCTATTTTTTCCCGATCACAATCATCAGTGAATACCATCGTTTACAATTGTATCGAATGTATGCTGATTCAAGAATGATTCTGATTTTCAGGTACAAAATGAGCATTGCGTCCTTGACAAAACTCTTGCTCCAGTTGATCGTTATCATTCTGATATGTTCCACAAAGTCATCTGCTAAACGAAAGCTTTGCGGTGCTGCGCTGCAATCGCATTTGATTCGTGTTTGCACATTCGCTTATGAACGAACACCGTGTTTCAGTTCCAAATTTCCAAGATCCAATTCAGTTCGAAGTGAGTTCTTCTATGTTTCATTCCTTCCATCTGCCATCGCATCACTTACAATTCATTATGTGTTGTCTTAACAAGTCGCAGCTGATAGAATTACCATTTTCATAAGTTGTGGATGTTTCCATTCCTGCCGCGATTACCATTATTGTTTTCTCCCTCAAAAGTAGACATTATGTACCACGCACAGACTGCTCATCCAGGTTGGCGAAAAAAGGTGTTGATAAGAGCTGAATAAAGGACTTCGATGAAACTTCGTTCACTCGTGATGTGATTTCCAACGCACAAAAAATTCTGCAATAGCTAACTTATTCGTTGCATCATTAACACTTCCATTAACTCACGTCCAATAATCACATTTCAACTATCTAATTGTTGTCTAGTGAATCATTAGTTGAGTCGATTTTGAAGTGAGCTAATCGCATTTGAAGTTGAGCAAATAACAGTGATGATCACCTTGTAATGTTTACGATTGATTCAGGTAGTGGTGCGAGGGCCTTCACTGGAATAGCAAATAAATGCTGTGAAGAAGGCTGTACGATACTGGATATGAGGGCAACGTGTTGCTTCAGGTTGTCCTGTCTGAGGAGATGCTATCCGAATTCTGGATATGGACGTCGCTTTAGAGCTGAGGATGACGTTAAAATCGTTTGAACTGGTCTGCAGCATCTATCCGATGTAGTGACCAAACATGAGCGATTTGCGGAATTTACTCTGAATCGCTCTGAATCTAGCTGATATTTGCAGTGTTATCAGCAACCTTGTAGATCTCATTCGTAGCTATGATCGGCAGTATATGAATTGAATTCATCACTTCACTAACTATTCATTTGTCATTCTGTCTACTATTACATTTCTTCTGTATCGATCAGCTGTTACTGTAATAATTAGATTCATGGTTCGTGAGCAGTACATATTTGTAAAATAATTACTTGTTTGTTATTTATTTTACATTGATTTCAAACGCTTTATAGATCATTTCCTATAACGATACGGATTGCCAAACAGCTGAAGGGCTGCAACATTGTTCGGGTTTTGTTCCAAGTCATTGATAATTGTCAGTTCAATGTTCGTGTGTCTGTAAATATGTGACAGCATCTTATAACGATGTTGAATCGTGTAAATTCATTTGTTGTATCGAGAATCGGGTAAATTTCATTCTTTGACTTTATTTCAATTTCTTCATTCTTATCGAATAAATATTTTACTCTCCCAGATAATGGTAAAATGGTGAATACGATTCGAATGTCGCATCAGAATTGTAAATCTGTTGCTATTTTTCATTTGATCGTGAACCATCTACTGTTGGCTGATAAGGGGTTATTAAAGCAAAAGCTTTTTTTTAAATATCAAGCTGGTACAGAGAACACCAGAAGTGTTATATTACGCCATCAGTAACTCAACGGTCAGCATGAGGAAGAACGTCTACATTTTTGATCGGGATTTACAGATACTTCACGGGATTCACAAACACCTCAAACATACAAAAAATTCACGTTAAGAAATATTTCATGAGAACCCATTGAAGTGAAAAAATGAATTGTTGAGTGTTGGAGGCAAAATTATCCGTGATACCAAAGAACTGTTGGGCGCACTGCAATATTTTGGCATTCTGAAACATCGTTAATGCTCCTCGAAATGTGCGTCACTAATTTACTGAGTGGAATCACAAGAATCGAACAGAGCTTAAGTCATGGAGTTGAAGTAATAGTGACGAGAAATGAGCTGTATCATCAATCAAACAGTCGTGCATTCAGAAAACAGCAAGAATTTCCAGTGAGACAACGGAGGATATGAGATCATCAACTATAATTTTTGACGGTCTTCGGAAACGCTTTGCAAAGCAAAATCTTAAACAAAAATCTATTCGTTTTTTTGCAAAAGATTTTTTTTTGCAGAACAAAATCTATTTGTTATTCTTTCAATTGCTGTATCTTTCTCTTGGTCATTATATCATTCACTTTCTCGTCCCTGAGTACATAATATGTAAGTACATCTTAAGTACCATGTACTTATTGTTGAATGCCTTTCGTAGCCTAGTTTCAACTAACAACAATCGATTTCCAAACAACTGAATGTATGTTTTCATTTGGATTCACGTGATTACTTCACGTGATTCACAAATACCTCAAATATATAAAAACTTCACGTTAAGAAATATTTCATGAGAACCCGTTGAAATGAAAAAATGAATTGTTAAGTGTTGTCACCAATTATAAACTACAAGGCATGGAGTGACCGGTTTCTTGGGCTGTATATAAGTGATCAGAAGTGTTTTAATTGTTCATATTTAAAGAACGTGGAATTGCTGCCTTCAAAAGATACCAGAGTCAAATCATTCACAGTGTATCGAGCGTCCGAATGAATATTAAAGCAAAAGAAATCAAGCATTTGACTATTTCTTGTTCATTAGTTGTTCAGTTGTTCATGAAATGTTCATTAAACAGATATCCGCAATAGTTGTTCTTGTTCATTCAATGGAGAATTGAAAAAGCTAAGAGAATCATTCGGGCTGATGTAATTGAGAAGCAACAACTTGACGTGGCGTTCACTGACCGAAGAGTCTCATTCTGCAGCAGAAATTTGTTGGCTGTCCGTAATCTGGCTGCGTATTTGCTCATCCATTCAATCATCAACCTCAGAAAATGTGAGCAGTGAGATGGAGTGCACTAATTGTGACGTGCAATTGTAAATCAGCACTATATTCAGCTCAAATCACCATAACTTCTTGTTTTCAAATGAATTATCGTCAGATGTCTTCATCAAAATGCTTTCTCGAACATTTCACTTTTATAGATCAGCATTTGTCTACTGAACAAAGTGATCTCACGTGACTGCCAAGAATGAACTACTCATCAAGTCAACCTACCTCATTCGCATATTCTCGTCATCTTGCATCAACTATGAATGAACCATTATCATTTGCACTCTGAATGCTCCCGATGTGTCCTTTTCAAGTGCAAATCAGCGTGCATTATTCAGCGCTTCAAGACTCGTGATTTTTGATGTGTAATCGGCAGTTTTTGCACATCAGAGATGATCGCATCATTTGCATTTAGTTGGATACGCAGACGTCATCGAATCGTTAACATTCTGCCTCCTCCTTGCATACTAACAACCAATATCAGAGCAGGTCAACTGTGACGAGAATAAAAAGATTCAAACATTGTTTTTGATGTTTTTAACTGTTTTGCCTTCATGCGAGATGAAATCAGAAGCCACAATACATCACTATTGAAGCTTCAATATATGAAGCTGAAATTTCGTCACCAAAACATTAATGCGCAGAATCACCATATTCTAGCTGTAGCAATTCGATGTGCTTTTATCAACTGCATCAGATTTTTGGATGCATATCCGTTCAAAGTGCGCATGACAAACGAGGGCAGAAAGGTGCTATTCGGAAAGGGAAGTGTGATCTGAGCCTTTATTAAGTGTTTGCCGCTACCGCCCATCAAATTGCACTATGTTACTTCCTTAACATTGCATTGCCATGACGGGATCACATTTTTAATTAATAAAGACTCTCATCAAATGATACTGCAAAACAATTCGGATGTTGTTTTCGATAATAAGCTGTAAAGGTTAAACGGTGAAGGGCAAACTGAGAAGCTTTAAAGGTTGAATCATCCCAACTGATCTAATCGCTGAATGAGCAAAAAATGAATAAAGATGAAAAGTCACTGAATACCACGCTAGCTGCTATCTGTGAATGAATAACAAAGTTATTGTTTACCTAAAACACCTCACGCATTTCAGTGAAGATGGGTATGCCAAACGATGTATTGATGAACAACTCGGATCAGTCTTCAATTCTTGACTGACTTGAACCATTCAATCGCACAGAATATACACATCTGCGGATTGAAATTAATCGCTATCTCAACATTCACCTCAATTATCAGATGCTAATTTCGGAATAATTTCTCAAAGTGGTTCGATAAGCATAGAAAGTACGTTAAGAATATTTCAGCAATTTTAATACGTAGAATGACCCTTGCTAGATGCTCNTAGTCGGATTTGCATTGTCTAATATATTGTTCGAAGCAAAACTATCATAAGAAATCTTATTCGTTGCCTCGAACGCAGACAGCTCAACAATCTTTTCGAAAGCTGTTAATGACAAAACTAGTTGATATGCTTCCTTCTCTTCGCCTCGTAAAACGCCATCTGCTATTTCTAAGCTCAATGAATCTGCTTTCGTGTATCACCAAATCACAAGAAATCTAAATTTTTATAAATTTGCCATCAAAAATAGTTTTTGTTTAAAAGAAACTAATTTTTATTCTTAAACTAGAGAGTCTATCGATGAAGCCATCAAAAAAATTCGACTTGTTCTAGTCCTGTAATTTCATTCCATCACTCTTCCATGAAAGCGTGGATCGAAAATTGCGGACGTTGTCTATTTGATGATTCATGTGGTAATAATTCCCTGTCCTAAACTTTAGGATTTCCTTTAGGATAATTTCTGTTAAAGAAATAATAGAGATGTGTAGCATGAACAAAGGGAACGGGTCAAAGAGGTTCAACTGAAACTAGGATTAGAAAGTGACCGGTCTTTGGATGGGGATCCCGTCCCCGTAAATGGAAACTGAGATGGCGAGGGATGCTGTGAAATGTAACGTCCATCCTTGATTTCACGGAAGAGCATCGCAAGTCTCCGTCTTCTAGAAATGAATGAATGCACGCATATTATATTGAGTACAATACTTGGTAATGCCTGCTGTAAAGTGCCAATAAGGCGACTTCGCAAATCGCGATGTTTGCATATATTCTGCCATTAAGCTCAATCGTCAGCTATCACACTCGCAGATTGTATCCATTTTGGACTATTCTATATGGTGTCGATACTTCGACCATAAAATAACGTTGCTGCTTTGATTATCTTATCAAATCCAGCTATTCCAAGATCGGTTTCAATTCGATTTTTAAAATCTATCGCTTTCTACCTCTTGACTGTTTCCGCTTTGGAGACGATTCATGCAGAGGCGATAGCTCCGCTATTTTATGGTTATCACGCCTAAAAATATGCTCGACAAGCTTCAACCCGTTTTCCTGCGATATTTCAGATGGTTTGTCATGTGGCTGATGTTGCTCCTTCAATAATCCATTGATTGCTCCATATATTCCATCGTTTCCTTTCTTATCTCGCCATGCTATCCTATAATTTCACGTGAAGGTTTTGTGTTCGCGATGTTCAATTTCTNATATATATGGCTGTTTGTTAAAACAGTGAAAATGTCAAAGACTATCCACATATGACGCTCAAAACGATAACGGCATTTCAACAGTTTCAACTATATTTTGGTTTCAACTATTTTTTGGTTCCCAATGCCTTCACTTCAATAGTCCCTCTATAAAAATTTCCCAAGTATTCCACTGTCTAAAAATCAATCCTTTTGGAATCACACTGTATCTAGACTATTTGGAATCACACTTTCTAAAAATTTATATTACTGTTCACATTCAATTATCGATTTTTAAAACGATCACTTAGGTATATTTCATCTGTTCATATACTGCGTTATGAAGATCAGGAGTACCATATTCAGAAGCATTCTTTTCGCGGGATAGTCCAGAAGCATGAGATCTTTTCAGGCTGCTGCACTCTCCAGATTTGCCGAATTTACAAACTCATACATCTTGTCGGATGA